TGTACATCCTCTGGTCTAGCCAGACTTGCAAGGTAGAATTCGGATCATGATAGTGTGTGTGTTGGGGGGAAGCATTTAGGAACTAGAGGAAAGTTGTATTTTTCATCATTGCTACATCGCACCCTGACGGGCTTGTCTCCTCCCCGAGACCCCTCTGCCAGGGGATCTCCAGTGCCTACAAATGGGCTTTGGGTCTCCACTCTGCACTCCCCCCTCATTCACTATGGTAAGATTTTTTGTTCTGATGATGCCTTATACCTGATCCTTCGACACCTCGTGGTTGCACAGGCTGGTGTGCTTCTTCCATGTGGGCTTTGTTGCTTCTGAGCTTGATGGCCGCTTGTTTACCTTCAAGACTTTAAGACCCCAGACGCTATATCTTTTGATAGCCGGGCACCATCAGCTTCCTTCGCTACATTTGCTTCTGCACCCATTTGTAGCACTGCCCTCTTGATGGCAGTTGTCCCTCAGGTCAATCTCAGTTTATAGGGACCCTCGTGAGGCAGAGGAGAGCCGTCCCATAGGGTGCTCTAGGACATGATCTTTACAGAAGCCGATCGCCAGGTCTTTCTTCCGAGGCGCTGCCGGGTGGGTTGCTTTTGGTTGGCACTTTACCGTGGGATGCTGAGGCTGCGGGGAGGATGTACGCGGCGGGCCTTCAAAGAGTGGGGACATGGGATGACAGATAATTCAGTGTTTCCATGAACTTTTTGAGGCCACCTCATATCTGAGCGGGAGCCCCTGTGGCACGGCAGGCTAGGCACTGGCTGCTCATCACCGGGTTGGTGGTTCAAGTCCACCAGGCTGCTCTGGGAAGAAAGTCGAGGCTGGCTGCTCCCATGAAGATTGACAGCCTCGGGAGACTCCCGGGGAGCTGTTCTCAACTGCCCTGTAGGGTTGCTGAGAGTGAACGCAACGGTCCCGGGTTTGGGTTTTCATAGATGAGCCAGAACCCTCCCACAGAGGGTTAAGTCTTGGGGTTTTCGGACTGTGGCCAGGATCCTTTATCGTCGGCAGGAGGGCGCCCCTGACCTGCTGGCCTGCCTTGTCCCCCCACGCTTGCCCTCTTCCGACCCCGCAGCGGGCAGTTCGCGATTGTGCGCAAGTGCCGGCAGAAGGGCACGGGCAAGGAGTACGCGGCCAAGTTCATCAAGAAGCGGCGCCTGTCGTCCAGCCGGCGGGGCGTGAGCCGCGAGGAGATTGAGCGCGAGGTCAACATCCTGCGGGAGATCCGGCACCCCAACATCATCACGCTGCACGACATCTTCGAGAACCGGACGGACGTGGTGCTCATCCTGGAGCTGGTCTC